CAGCCTGGCTGGGGAGGTGGGGGCTCCCTAGGCCCCCTGGGACGGCAGCTCTGGGAAGACGTGTCCTGGGGCCTTGACAAGTCTACACAGCTCCTCTCTCTGCACCTGCCCCCCGCCCCAGAAGAGCCTGGGCCAGCTCCAGCCCAGTGTGCTGCCAGGGCCCTGCCCTGCAGGGATGTGTCCTTTCTCCTCAGCTCCCTGGCTGTCCTGCCAAGGTCATTTATGGGTCTTTCCTCCTCTGGGGCTTGTCACACTGCCCCTCCCCCGGGGGGCTGGGCAGCCTGGCCCCGCCTCCCTGTGGGGCTCCCTGCACACCCAGGCCAGGGGTCTGCTGTGCGGCAGGCACGGGGCTATTTGCTGCACCGCCTTGCTTGCGGCCGACGGACGGCCCGGAGCCTGCGGCCAGAGCCCGGCCGGGACGCCAGCGGTCGGGTTGGCTGGGGCTGGCTGTGCATTGGTTTGCTGGCGCGAGGGGGGCTTACTGCGCAGCATGTCGTTGTAGGCGTTGTCCGCGATGGAGTAGATGTGGGGCGGGGACTCCGACCTCCGCTTGCCCTTGTAGGCTGCCACCACGGGCGCGGTGTAGACTGGCAGCCACTTGTAGGGGTTTATGGTGACGCAGAACAGGCCTGAATAGGTCTGAGGGCAGAGAGGCCAGTGAGCGAAGCGGGACCCGCCGAACAGAGGCAAGTGTGAGCGCAGAGCTAGACACGCTGCCGGGCCGCCGCCTCTCTCCGCTGCAGAGCAGGGGGCAACCGGCCGCAACAGCAGCGTCCCCGGTGCTGACCCGCCTTCCTTTGGCGGTGGCATTCCTCCCGCGCCCCGTGGGCAGCTGGGTGCCCAGCGCTAGCCCCGCACCCCGGCGGCCGCCTTGCTCAGGGCAGCCCGCCAGGAAAGCTGGTGGCGTCTGCCCGGGACATGCCCGCTTGAGCAGTAGCTGGAAACCCCTTGGCACTGGGCGCCTGGGTTTTGTTTTGCAGACTCCCCGGTGAGCGAGTCTCTTCCCCCAGGCATGGCAAGAGGCTTAGTTCTCTTTACCAGGTTTGCCCAGTGAGTCTGATCAGCGCACATAAATCTACCCCCCTCTGCCCCAGCCTGCGGGGGATTCGCGCTCCCGTGCGCCATGGCAAAGCAGGCCCAGCCGGCCCGGCTAGACAACCCTGGGAGGAGGGGGTTGTGGTTCTGAGCTGGCGCCAGGGCTCCGCGCGTCACCCCCTGCCGGCCCCACTCACATAGATCATCCAGTGGGCGTAGCGGCGCTTCAGGTTGTACAGCACCGAGGCCTCGTTGAGGTGCGTGAGCATGGCCATGTCCTCAATCATATCAAACTTGGGGGGGTTCACCTGCTGGATGTCGTCTTCCTTGACCACCCGAATCTGCAGGGAGGAAACAAAGCAGGGGAGCCTCAGCGTGTCCGGGGCCCCTGCGGGGCGGGACCAGGCTGGTGCGTGAGCATGGCCATGTCCTCAATCATATCAAACTTGGGGGGGTTCACCTGCTGGATGTCGTCTTCCTTGACCACCCGAATCTGCAGGGAGGAAACAAAGCAGGGGAGCCTCAGCGTGTCCGGGGCCCCTGCGGGGCGGGACCAGGCTTGGCAGGCTCCATGAGCCGCGGCAGGGCCCTGTCCGCTTGCTCCCGCCTCTTGGGCAAAGGGCTGGGATCGGCTCTTGTTTCCACACGGCCGGGCCCGGCGGCGGGCCG